GATAATATTATTCGCGTTCTCATGCTGTAGACTTTTGGTAGCAAATTTTTGGTTGTTTCTAATAATTTTTTTTTTACGTCGCCAAATTACTATTGTAGTAATTAATTTGCTATTAATCCTTGCGTATCCACGTATCTGTTTGAAATGACGAAGGTGTTTTGCCGTAAAAATCTTGCGAATCCTTGTATTTCAATCACTTTAGGGGATTGTCTGCAGTGATATCGTTTCGATTCCGACGCCAATCTGTTGTGTCGTGGCACAATAGTAAAAATAAGAAAATCAAGTCGAAGTTGGTTTAAAGAACAAGTGTATTTAACATCACAGATACAAAGGTAGGAAACGGGTACTACTCAGCTAGGCAGTTGTAGTACTGTAGCTGCTTACACCGGGTAGGTATTACTGGCACTATATATAGTGAGAACCGGTGTAATTCCCTTGTGTTAGAGTCCGGTGCAACATATATTATGGTGGATCAAAACTATTTCATTTTTTTTTTTTTTTCTTTTTTTTACAGATCTTTATTCCAAAGCTTACTTCATACAAACAGCTAAAGCCTACAATACTTCTATATTATTATTATTATTATTATTATTATTATTATCTTACTCACTATAAAACACAGATTGTGTGTGTGTGTGTCTGTATATATTGGATCAGATTTCCTACATTTTTCAACTGATCTCAACAAAACTTCACAGGACTACTTTGCGGTGGTTCTGACAGCGCCAAAAATTGGAAAAACACAATTGTTTTTGCACAAAATCAATTTGAGAACACAATAAAACATGATTCTGTCGCCAGAATGAAAGGGGGACAACTCATATCGAGTTTTACTTATTATAAAACCCAGGTTGTTTGTGTGTGTGTGTGTGTGTGTTTGTTCCTTTATATATGGGATCGGATTTCCTACATTTTTCAACCAATTTCAACAAAACTTCACCCTTTTTTTGGCATGTAGTGTTTCTTATTGTCTTGCACACTTTTTTCTTTATTTTTATATTCAGAATGCTTTAAAAATTCCATTTACAAGACAATTGTTTATAATAAAATTCTATTCAATCGGTAGACACATAACGATTAAAAACAATGTTTTTGTTTGAGTTTGGGTTTGACCAATTCGTAAAAAAAAAAAAAAGAAAAACTAATTAAGACATGCGTGTCCGTCAACCTTAAACAATAATCTTTGTCAGTTTTATTTTTCAGTCTTTATGATGGTTGATACTTGATCTATGTCTTACTGTTACATCCCTGGGCAATGCTGGGCTCTACTGCTAGTTATTATTATAATGGTGAATGCGTTGTTGTATGAGAATGACTTTTTTTCTTAGAAATTTCTTTCCTATATTAGAGTGTGTCTTCCAACCCACAGTGACTAGTAAGCCAGAAAATATGCTAACTGAGCTGCTGTTTCTGTTTTTACTATTTTCTTAACCAGTGAAATTAATACCAAATGGCCTAAAAGTCCTACTAAAGAAAGAATGTCCATCTGACAGGACAGTAAATCAGTGTTGTTTCATGATCACAAATTCCTTAACCCATTAGGGTCATAAGAGCCACACATGTACTGCAGCTGTAACAGCAGTGGGTATGTCTAGGGCAAGATAACCAGATGGAGTCCATTCCACTTCACAGTGGTTTTGAATTCAGAGTTGTCTTCCTAAACTGGTTATCCTACTAAGGCTCAAGAGCCATATTATTTAAAAGGGTTTGAATTTCTTTATCCAGGACTGGCTGCACCTTAAGAAAAGAGAGGTGACAATGCCCTCTTGTTTAACCCTTAATTGGGGAAAGATGGATTCATGCCTTTTCATAGTGTGAAGTGAATGAAACAGACTTGGTCAGAATTTGAACCTGTTACATCGATTACTGTACTGTACTGATGCGGCATTCACCCTGGGCGGATTGAGCCGGTTTCTTCCTGTCATGAGAAGAAGATTCTTGGGATAAATTTATCCCAAGAATCTTCTTGTAGGGTACCCAGGCCTACTCGGATAATGTTCTTGCTTGCCATGGGATTCCCACAGACGCAGAGACAGGAACGACCAGAAGCCACCGGTTACCGATACAGACGCTCCTTGGATTTTCACCAGAGCCCTTGTTAGCCGGCGTGTGTGTCAGACCTGTCCGCCTTGGGTGGCCCTACCAGGAACGAAGTTCCAGGCGGCATAGCTCTGACACTACCGTTTACACCCCCCACCGATTTACATCGATTCCACTTTCAGCACCAATAACCATCACCCTACTGACACATAAGAGTGATGTTTAAGAATTATCTAGAAAATTTTGATTAAGTGCTTTCAGTTAGACATTTTTTAGATTCATGGCCATAACGATTGGGGACAAAATCTATAATTACAGATGTTCGCGTTAACAATTCCCTTAAAACTTGAGGGTCATAGGGCCGCTTCATGTACTGTAGCCATAGCTGCTGTGGTGTGTCTTGGGCAAGATAACTTGGTGGAACCCAACCTTCTCTAGGCCAGTTTGAATTCAAAGTTTTCCTCTCCTAGACCAGTTGCTAACCAGGGCTATAGTCTTTCCTACTATTTACCAATAGCTGTGAGGGAGGAGAAGAAATTGATTCATACATTTGCCAAGGGTATTTGCACATAGGTGAATATAACAAACGACTAGAATTCAAACTTTTGAATTTTTTTTTTTTTGATATTTGTCATCTGGGGTGTTTCACAGTAAAAAAAACTTTGAAAAAAATAATTACTTCTGATCATGGTAACATTGTACAACTGAATCAAAATTCTTGTCTGTGATCAAACATGCATTAATGAAGGGTTATTGCCTGAGTTGTCATTATTTTAAAGTATGCAAATGATTCATATTAGATATTTATTAACATTTTTATCTAAAGTAAAAAAAAAACATAACTGCAAATTTTTAAAAAAGTATAAAAAGCTTATATTTTGCATGATGAACTGTAAAAAATAATATATTTTTAATTAGGTACCTCTACGAAATGTAAACAAAAAGAGCATAGCATGATGAAAAAGACGCCAAACTTGACGAAAACAAAATTTTATTGTCTAATGTTCATATTATTATTAAAGAGGAAAGATCAAAGTATTTTTGGGGTATTTTTTTACAATTTTTTAATCGTTCCTAGCACGTCTGAAATTTTTGTTAAAAATCTTGTTTTTTTTTGTCAAAAAAAAAAGAACAAATAATCCATCATTTTCAATCATTTTTTTCCATTTTATAAAAAAGATGAAAATCTGACTTTGATATTCTTTTAAAAATCAATTATCATTTTTTCAAAACTTATTTTAATAGAATCAGAAATTATAATGTTTATTTAAAATATTTTGAACCAAGCTTCTGCGCTGAAAAAATGTAATTTGAAAATAAAACAAAGCAGGTCATAACCTTTCACGTCTTTTGACAGGTGATGAAAGACATTTTCATGATGTTTAGATAACTTATGGGAGGATAATTCTTTCTATGGATGGAAGGAAGTGAAATTATTTAGATTTAAGTGAACAAATTATTTCCCTCATTACTTTTAAGGAAAACTTTCAGTGCTCTAATTTTTTTATTTTTTTGTACTTAGCTTTCATCTTTACGTTTACGATGCTTTATGGAAAATATAAAGAAATTAAAAAATAAGACTGTTAAAAGTGAGATTAAATTTCATAAGAAAAAGGTATCTAATTAATTTATAGGTACCTTTCTTATGAAATTTTATCAGAAGTGTACATAAAATACTATAATTTTATGTACATTTATTACATTTTACTGTGTTATTTGTATTTGCATTCATTTTATTATTAATTTTGATATTTCATTTATGGAAAAATGTCATAACTGAGATTAATATAAAAATAAGATGATATAAATTAAAGTTTAGCAGTAGTTAAATTTCATAAGATGATACTGTTACTTGTAGGTACCTTTCTCAGTTGAAATTGAAAAATCAAATTAACTTCTCCATGCATGTTTCGCAAAAGTAAAGGCCTTGACAACAGAGAACAATGCTGAACTCAAATAATGCAACTAAATTGTATTCTGGTTGGTCTTCAGTACTTTATAATTACCGCCTAATTATAAACACAAAAATTACATTTCTTAATTACTGCGGATCTTCTGATTGGTCCAAATGATACAATTTTCAATGCACTAGACAATGACAATCTCATAAATACACTTAGAAAGGTTGACATCGCTTTTAACTAATGTTATAATATTTTTAAAAAACTTAATGTAAAAATCTATTATAATTAAAGAAATAACAAATAATTGTATTAAAAATTCAATTTTCATTGAAAAAAGTTTTTGCTTTCAGAAAATATTGTCCATATTCATAAAAACAAATAAAAGCATTTGAAATTAAATAATATATTTGTTTTATTGAGTTTTGTATGTTACAATTCAGAGCTAATTTTCAGGTACTGCAGCTCCAATTAAAAAAAAAAAAACATGATTTGCATTCTTCAAAGTCTTGTGCTTTTAACTATTGTAATCACTAAGGTTGATGCGCTCAAATTTCTGGAGTTTTTCATAAAATTAGTTATGGGGGTGTTAATAAATATAAAAAAAATATTTCTGCCATGACTTTAATAAAAAAAACATATTTATAATAATTTTGATCATCTGTGAATAGTTTCTGAAAGTTTCATTAACATCTGACAATTATTTTTATTTTTGCAAGATTTTCCAAATTAATGTGTGTAATACAAAAAAACGTGCTAAAAATTATCTATGTTATTTACTAGCCCCTGTTGGTACAAAGAGAAACAAGGTTTTTTTTAATCAAAATTTAGAATGTTCTAAAAAGAAGGAAAAATTTTTAAAAATAATTAAAAAAACTTTGGTCTATCCTCTTCATAAAAACATAAGCATTTAGACGATAAAATTTTGTTTTCATAAAGTTTGGCGCCGTTTTCATCAGACTATGCTCTATTTTTTAGCGATTTCATGGAGGTACCTATAATTTTAATCATTTTAAAAAAAACTACATCATTACTTTTTTGAAATATTACTGTTAAAAGCAACTTGAACAACACTCAGCCGACAGGAGTCCAAGTCGATGCTCATCTGGTCCTGTTACCTCTTCTGGCTGTTCCATTCCAGTTCGAGCACAAGTTGTAAGTGCCAACATTTACTTTTCTCTGTCATTGACTTGATGCAAAAGTCCCCATCACTTTTATAGTGTTAAAGAAATCTAAGACATGCCTTTCATGTTTATTCAGCTCTTTATCACTTCTACTTGCAGAATTATTTGCAGGAAACTGATAATTTTCAATAAAGTTAGGGCTGAATATAAAACATACAGTGTATATCATCTCTTTTTTTTTTTTTTTTTTTTTTTTTAATCATTTCACTCCAAACAAGGCAATAAAAACACTAAGACACAAGGGAGTTACTGTGAGTATTAGAGAATAGGAAAAAAAATGCTATTATTAAGGAGAGAGAAAAGAACAAGAATTAAGAAGACAGAAGATGAGGATTGCATTTAAATTTTTGAAGATGAAAGTTGACATGGAAACAGGTGAGAAGTGCAATAGAAGAAACTGTTAGCATAGAACTTATGGTTACATCTAGCCATTTCAACTGTAAAATGATGAGACCTAGCTGCTAATCTAGTACTGCTCTTAAATTCATAAAGTCTAGGTACCAAAGAGGATAGTTCATCAGAACAATTACCATGAACATACTTATCAGATTAAGAAACTGTTAGCATAGAACTTACAGTTACATCTAGCCATTTCAACTGTAAAATGATGAGACCTAGCTGCCAATCTAGTACTGCTCTTAAATTCATAAAGTCTAGGTATCAAAGAGGATAGCTCATCAGAATAATTACCATGAACATACTTATCAGATTAAGAAACTGTTAACATAGAACTTATGGTTACATCTAGCCATTTCAACTGTAAAATGACGAGACCTTGCTACCAATCTAGTACTGCTCAAAGAGGCAAAAATTCTTAGAGAAAAATTATGGGACAATAAACTTTCATTTACAAGGAAATCTCCTCAACTTGCTAATTGCTGAATGAGGCTTGTTTTGGTTGCATGGATTTTACAGCATTGTAACACTGCTTACGTGTTCATATCTCATCAGATTCAACAGTTAATGGAAATTAATAATATACAGAATGAAGCAAAAGTCATGCATCCTAGGGGTTAATGGATAAGTGAAGAGTTCCTGTTGAGGGGCCCCTGAGGTCACCAGACCTTACACCCTTGGATTTTTTTTCTGTGGGGCCATTTGAAATCAGCTGTTTATCAGATGCACTCAAGAAATACTTGAGGAGCTCAAAGAAGGAATTAAATATGAATGCCGTAAAATGACAAGAAACTCTCTGACGTGTTAATGAACCATACAAGCACAGAATTGAAATGTGTTTTGACAAAGGAGAACATTTTGATCAGCACATTTAACAATTAAATAACTCATAAATAAAATTTTCATATGTAATTATACTTTTAGTAAATTGTCCCTATGGTTTGTGAATTTTGCCTCCCTTTGTTTAATCACATCGGGTTCATCACCAGATAATTGGTGAGCTATGGAAGAAAGGTTTATTCTCTCATTTTCATTTCCCCTATTAAGGGCATTATTATATCCATGATATAATAACACCTTATTTCACAGACAGAACAGAATAGCTGAAAGAAAAGGAATGACAAACATGCTTTATTCTCAGAGAGTTTTATGCTAAGTTGTACACAAAATTATATATACATATTTACACATGTACCATACAGAGAAACTATATCACATGTCTACAGCAAGAAGCTGATCAAGGCCAGAGGTTGCAACTGCTGAAACATTGTAATAGGGACAACAAAGATGAGGACAATAGTCCACATGTAAATAGTGTAAATAATGGTAACTCCTCATCTTAGAAATTCAGGCTGAAATTAACATTTATTATATCTTTTGTTAGTATTAATTTCCTTTATTTCGTTTTTATAAGGAATTTTTTTTATTTCATTTTCTTTAATATTTCATATATTCTTGATATAACTAGTTGCCTGTAATATGCATCTAAAACAGCAATATCAATGGCTCAGTCTGCCGTTCTCTACAATTTTTGTCACCAGAATCTATCTTATGCATTGATAGGTCTACCTTGCTTAGAATATTGCTGCCACATCTGGTCTGGTGCTTCTATGTATCGAGAGAATCTTAACAAAATCCCAAAAGGAATCTGCAATGTTATTGGTTCTTACCTAGCATCACTTTTCACTATCATAATGTAGTGAGTTTTAATACAGATTTATTTTTTTTAACGCTTTTTATTTATATCCCTGGTATTTTTAACTTGAGAGACTGATTTTATAATCTTTCGAATTATGACCCCGATTTTTTTTTTTTTTTTTTTTTTTTTTTTTTTTTTATCTGGACCACCTATTGGTCTTTTCTCTCAGCCTGCTGCATGCTAACAAGGAAAGCACAAGGTGAAAACAAACACCACAACAAGAAATGAAAACTAGAACCCTATCTCCGATATATTGTTTATTTCAAGGCTTCATTTGCATTGACTAGGTAGGTAGGTGACACTTGGGGACAACTTCTGCCACAGATCAGCTTTTCGCTTTAACCAGCAAGAATTACCAATTCTTGGTATATGTGGGGAAAACTATGAAAATGGCCTACCTCGGAAACGTCTGCGAATCTGTGCGATGTGCAAACTCCGGTTTGCTCAACGGTAAAAGGAACCAAAATGGTGGCGCCCATGTTTTATGCCAGGCGGTCTCTGACAGTTAACGCGAAATCTCGTCTCGTCATTCGCATGCAAATTGTGGTCGGTCCTCGGCTATATAAAACAGGCACGTTTTTGTTTCTGATCAGTGGGCTTTTTGCTCGTGAGAAGGTTGGGCACGTGACACTGTTTTTTGTCGGTTACCCTCCTCGCAGTTTTTTGTTCCTATCTGCTATTACCAGTTGAATCGTTGTGTTAACACCACAGTATACCTCTACATCATGGTGTATGATTGGCATTTCTAACAAGCAGCATCAGAACTACCCCGACAGTTTTCACCTGGTAATGAGCCTCTCAGCAACACTTCAGTCCCACCTATGCTTGATAATGTTGTGATCAAAAGTTTTCCATGTCCAGTTTGCTGTCACTTATGCCTAGATATGTCCAACTTTTCACCCAAAAAACACAGAAAAAAGGCCCCAAACTTGATAAAACAATTTTTTTAACATCTAAATGTTTATTTTACTATTAAGATGAAAGACCAAAGTATTTTCTGAATATTTTTTCAGATTTTTTAATCCTTCCTATAATGTTAAAAATTTTATTTAAAAATCTTTTTTTTTTTTTTTTTTTTTTTTTTTTTTTTGAGTCAATACAATTTTTGTAAAATCAATCATATCAGCCATTTTTTCTGACTTTGTAAACAAAATCAAAATTAGCAGTTTAAAAAACACATAAAATTCAGTTACACCTTTTTCTAAAGTTAGCTTAGGAAAATTAAAAAATTTAAAGTATACTTAATGTTATTTGAAAGAAACATTACATACTTTTTATCAGAAAATTTTTTAAGAGAGACATTTCCAACTGTGGTGCTTGGTTTTGGGCATGTTTGAGAGGTGTTAACTGATGTACGTCAATGTATCGACAACTTATATCAGGGGAATTTATTGGATGGTAGGACAGAAGTGACATAATCTGTGCTAGTTTTGAGTGAACCGGATTAGTAGATTTATATATTAAAAGAATACACTTTCAAATTTTTTTTTTTTTTTACCTTACGTTTGAGGGAGAATTCTGGAATAAAAATAACATTTAAATTACAAAAAAATACAGTTATAGTTCAAATTTTATAAGACAAAAAAAAAAACGAGTAATATATAAAATATATTATTTAAATAATTTATATATATATATATATATATATATATATATATATTATTAAATAATGCTATAAGTTATGCCATTACTTGATAAGTTTGAATAAATGACTGGAAAAATAAATTCTACAAAGAAAAAGAGCTTCATTTCTTGACATGCACTCATTACACTTGGTCCTTTACAATTCTAGTCACTGTTGAACAAACTGAACACCTTTACACATAGCAAAAAGGTGATATTTTGCTGGATCCCAAGCCATATTGGAATCCAGGGAAATGAGAAAGCCGATTCCTTAGCCAAAGCTGCTCTCAACATGACACCCGAACAAAACATCAAAATCCCATAAACTGACCTAAAACATAAAATCAAGACAACAATAACACTAAAATGGCAACAACTATGGGACAAAAATACCAACAATAAACTCTACCAAATAGCACCAATTCTAAAGGAAAGGCAACTGAATCTTAAAACAAGAAAAGAACAAACCACCATTGACTGACTACGCATTGGACACACAAGACTGACTCACTCTTTCCTACTAAAACAAGAACCTTCTCCTAAATGTTCCTGTGGAAAACAATACACTGTAAAACATATACTAATAGAATGTACAAACCTCACACATATCCGTAGAAATTTCTATAACACGAAGAACATGAAGAAATTATTTGCAAAAACTGAACCAAAAAATATATTGGATTTTCTAAAAAGAATTGGTCTCTTATCAAAGATGTAGACTGATGGATAAACAACATATCCTACCTTTTACCATTTTGCAAATAAATTGTTCTTATCAAATGGAAATTCTTGACTTAAACAAAAATACCTAGGATTATTTTGCAGTGTGCAAGCAAATAAGCTCTAGTTTGCTAAAAATATTCCATACAGAATAGGCATTTAAAATTCATATATTTGGCATATATATATAAACTGGATTTGGCATTAAATAACCCACAGTGGTTGATATGCCATAAAACCCAAACAAACAAACAATTCCAGTCCTGGGTATGACAGGACTGGGATTGATAAATTATAGGTATGATAAACTATATACAACAGCAAGGCTTCTGATCAGGTGATTGGATGTTTTGAGGAGTGTGGAACCACAACTGCAATTATGCAGTTGATCCCATGTTCACCCTGACCCAGGGTGGTAGCCCCTGTAAGGGTCCCAGCAAACACTATGAAAGTATAAAGATACTAGCAATACATTACCAACAGCACCTGTAAAATTACCAAAAATACATTTTATTTTAGTTGAAGACTTACAATTGTGTTCAAAATATTTAGATTTCAGCATTAAATAACCTATGGGTGTTTTATGCATTTAAATATTTATATATATTAAATGTTTATATTTATGTATTTATATCTATATTATATTCATATTTATGTATTTATATATATTAAATATATTTTTAAATATGTTTTTATGAATTTTATACACATTATTTACATTATTCGGACTATTGTCCTCATCTTTTTCGCCATATCTATCACAACTTTTCGGCAACTGACATCCATCAAAAATGGCACGTGGAACTAGAACAGTCTACCCGAGTGAGCGAAATAAAGGGTTCAGTTTAACATTCCAACCACCTGAAGACGGCGGAGCGTATAACGGCGAAAACGTTCATGATAGATATGGCGAAAAAGATGAGGACAATAGTCCGAATAATGTAAATAATGTACATAATACCTCATCTCAGAAATATAGACAGACTCTGAATTTTATACAATTTAAATATTTATATACATATATATATTAAATATTATGCATTTTAAATAACCCGTAGGTGTTTATATGCCGCTAAAGGAAATGAAACAACCAACTTCAGACTTTATCACTAGTCATAAAACACAAAATATTTAACACAGAGATGAAATCAAATACCATTCCCTTCTATGTGGGTGAACCATCATGGTGTCTCAAACAACTTATTTTACAAGCATTGGTTGAGATGTTGAGAGTTTCTTTTTAAGTGCTCTTTGCTTTGCACTACTGAAAAAAAAAGAGTGTCTCTTTTCATAGTATGTTTGATGGTTTGGTTTAGTTTTGGTTTGTTTTACAGCATATCAATGGGTTATTTAATGCCGATAAGTTTTTTATTTCTGGTAATATTTTTTTTATCTATCTATCTATCACGGTCTCTTCATATCTGTCTATCTGTCACAGTCTGTTTGTATCTATCTATCTATCTATCACTCCAAGCAAGGCAAGAGTACCGCTAGCATGCAAAGGGTTACAGAGGATTGAGAACAATAATAAAGAGACATGTTTGAGGAAAGGATACATTGAAGGACAGGGAACAAGGGTGTCGGGTGTCGGTTGACATTGCACTTAAATAATTTGAAGATTATATTTATCAGGGAAGGGAGTTCCACAGACGAGAAGTGTGAGAAAAGAAGCATTGCTTGTAATAATGTTTTTCTTCAAAAATGTATTGCTGGTGTTAAAACCTATTTTTATACTTTCATAGTGTTTTGACTCCCAGTTTAGGGGTTCACTATTTACCCATATCTGGGACTCTAACAGGTGCTACCACCTCTGGTCAGGAGGGACCTGAGAACACCAGCAATTAAGAGGTGGTTCCACACTCCTCAAAACCTCCTGATCAGAGGCCTTGCTGTTGGATGTTGTTTATTGTAATACCCAGTACGAATAGGCTTGAAGAAAGGCCTAGAATGCTTATAGGTGTGTGAACAACAAAAATGAATTCAAAATGAGTTCAATTTTCTGAAAATCTCTTTCAAAAATTTTAATGTTAATGATTTCTTAAAATAACCGAAAATTTAAGTCGTATTTTTTTTTTTTTTTTTTTTTTTTAGGTTTCTAGTCACAGTCGCCCACCTCATTGTATTGAAAGTGTCCCAAGTCACCCTGCTGCAGTACAACAGCATTCCTCTAAGCCAGAAGCAGTTGTTCATGCCATGAAGGTAAAAAAAAAAGCGAACTTAGCTCTCCACAGCTTCCTTTCTTTTCAAGCTTTCTGTACTACTTTCTCCTTTTCAATTTATTTTTCTCTTTGTTTTATTTGTCTCCATCCATTTACTCAAATTTATCAAGTAGATTTTCTATCACACTCTTTCTGTCATGTCTCTTTACAACTGGAGTGATTATAGTCCTCCACAGCTTCCTTTTTCATGCTCTCAGCAACACTTGGTACTTTACAACCCCTCTTTCTTTTTTTGGTACTTGTTGCTCAATCTTATCATATACATTTTCTCTCACCCTCTTTTTCAGTTTTATGTCCATTCAGGTTGGGGATGTTCATGGTTCCCCACAGCTTCCTTTCATTTCTTGTTCTCTGTAATATTTGTTCTTTTCTAATCCATTTTTCTTTTTGTGGTACTTATTTTTCTGTTTGTAGTAATATGTAAATGAGGTACTGTATAAAAGGCGGTATCACTATACCTATGAGAAAGTTATCTTCTCTTGACGATACTACCTCTGCTTGTGAGAATACCTATCATAATAATATGTTGTCGCCAATTGGTTATCACAGAATATATTGAAACCTAGCTTATGTGTTTCTCAGCATTGGCAAGAGTGAAAAGGACACAAAAGTTAAAGGAGAAAATTAAGTTATGGATTTGTTTTGGGCTTCAGCAGGGTGTGAGGCCATAAAAACAATCTCTGTCATGGTCTATCCTGAAGTGTTGGAAGATTTAGCCTATGAAAAAATTGTTGCCATCATAAAAGAAAATATACGACCAAAAAAAAAAAAAAAGATTGGTCATAGTGAAAAGAACTAAATTTCTTGAAAGTAGACAAAGACCGGACAAAACTATTATGCAATATGTACAGCAATTGAAAGAAGCATCAAGATATTGTATGTTTGGAACAAATGTCTATTGAAGATGAGCTAATTTTGCTAAAACTGATTGAAGGAATGTTTGACATCTCGTACAAACATAAAATTTTAGAGTGGCTTCAAGCTTGTAATATGAATTTGGAAACATATGTGGAGCTCTTGCAACAGTCGGAATTGATAAAATAATTTAATGCCTCCGAAGACAATATGAAGACTTATAGTACCCTGATCTGGCATCTCATCTGCAGTCACTCTCTCACAGAAGCGTCGTCGCCTCTCTCTGTCTTTTTTACAAATACTTTCATGGTAATTGCTCCGATGAGCTGCTTTCACTGGTTCCCAGACTCCATGAATTCAAGCGCCTTTTGGTGGCTGGCATCCCGCTCCCACCCTTACACTGTAGAAACTTTTAAATGTAGCCGCCTCTTCTACTTCAATAGCTTCATACCTCGCACCTCTCGCCTGTGGAACACCCTTCCCAATTACTGTTTCCCTGAGAGCTATAATCTCCAACTATTCAAATGTAATGTCAATCGACATCTCCAGTTGCCTTGATCTTCCCACTATCCTTCTCCTCATCCTTTCTTCTATCACTCCTATCTGCTCTCGCTCCAAATCTTCTGCAACCCCCTGCATCCTAGTGGCTTCAAACCTTGCTCGGGGCGTAATGCTTAAAAAAAAAAAAAAAAACTACTAAAAGCTTAATTGTATGCAGATATTGCAATAAGGACCATGAAAAGAGCAAAAATAACTGACCAGCCTTTGGGAAATGGTGTTTTAAGTGTAAAAAGAGGAATAATTTCCAGACAGCATACACATATGAAAAACGAGTGAAAAAGTGGAAAATATAGATCTTCTGATTGAAAATACAGAAGACCTACCTGGACTTGGGTTAGTGGTCTATACTGAAATATTTATTTAATACATATTACTTTCTATTCTTTTTTTTTTTTTTTTTTTACAGGTGTTAGAAGTTCACCAACAACTTGAACGACCTGTAAGTGGAGCAGGACCTGATCATTTAGGCGATAAGGAAAGGGCCATTGTCAAAGAAATGTGTAATGTAAGTTCACTCTCAGGATTTTCTGATTTTCCACCATTAAAAAATCTTTTGTTTCTTTCTTTGATTCATTTTGTTCCTCATCAAAATTTCACATATAACTTATTACTATCACATTATTATATTATAATTCTAAGCACTCTAATATTTTATTGAATTTTTAATTTCTTTGGCCTTATGGTTTTATTTATGAAGATACTTGTTGAGGAAATGTTAGAAAATTACCAATAAATTTTAAATTTACTCTAGTTACTGCTCTTATTTTATGATAATATTGTGTTTGGACATCCATATTTACCAAAATCAACATAATGTCAAAATTCTTTTTAAAATACCGTGGGTTATTTACATGTGTTAAGTTTTTCCATGATTAGCAAATATAGAGTTTACTTAATAATAATATCACCTAACTGCTACAAATTAATACAGAATTTTAAAATTTATAAATTATTTTAATTAATTTTGTTTTTTTTTTTTTAAAAAAGAAAACATTCTTGTAAAAATAAATTATTCATCAAAAAATTATTTTTCTTAAGACAATAGTATCCACAATATATTTTATTCATAAAAGCAATTAAAAGCTTTTCTAATTAAATAATATCTTAGTTTTATTACATTTTTTATTTTACCATTCATAAGAAATTTTCTATAACTAAGGGTCCTGTTTGGCAAAAAAAAAATTGAGGGTTTAAATTCTCCAAAGACTTGTGCTTATAACTAGTGTAAACCTTAAGCACTACAAAAGTGAATTTCTCAAATTTTCAAAAAATTAAATAGGTAACAGAATTTGAAAAAAAAAAATATATAAATAAAATTACCAAGATTTTCTTAAAAAAAAAAAAAAAAAAATTGTTTAAAAAATAATTTTATTCATTTGGTAATAAGTCCTGAAAGTTTCATTAAAATCTGACAATTATCTGATTTTTACAGGAATTTCCACATCAATGTGTTTTCACCAAAAAAACTAAAATTCCTTATGCTAATTTATGGTTACCTGTTGAGGCAAGAAAGATTTTACCAAATTTTTGAAGGTTCTATAAAGGATTAAAAAATATAATTCAATGATCAAAAAATGTTTTAATCTTTCCTTTTAATAGTCACATAAAAATTTTAAACTTTGTTTTTATTAAGTTTTGGGTATTTTTAGTGAACCTTTGGAGGTACAGAGAAACCTCGGTTCTCGAACATCTCGCATGTTGAACAAATCAGTTTTCAAACAGAAAATTCGAGATGAAAATTCCTCGTTTATCAAACAAACTTTTGGTTCTCAAACAACATTGCTAAACTGAGCCGAACCCAAATGAAAACATTTCTGAGTCAACCACCGTGTTGTATAGTGCTTTTCTTTTCCAATTTTATTGTACTGTGCCTTTTTTTCTCTTCATTAGTCCTCAGTCATGGCTCCAAAGAAAGCTAGCACTGATACTAGTAAAGGAAAAAGAAAAGTTAAGAGAAAAACAATTATTGATGATATTGTCTCTTCCTACTCAGTTTCATATGACAAAAAAATCAACGATCTATATTATTCTTATAAATAAAGAGACAATCATGTCTTTCCTTCCACTTTCCAGACAATAACCTTTATTTCATTCCTCTTCCACCTCCACCACCAAATTCCCTAATTACAGGTACGGTAAAATTAAAGTGTTCGCTTATATCTTATCTATTTAGTATTGGGTTTATTTATTTTTTCTTAGATTTAATGATTTTCATTAGATTTGTGTACAAACTTGTGCACAAAGTACTTTTGTAAAAGTTTGAATAAGCAATCATCTTGAGACCAGGAACAGATTAATCCATTTTACATTGATTCCTATTGGAAAAATAGTTTCGGTTTATGAACATTTTGGGTTACGAACAGGCTTCAGGAACAAATTAAATTTGTGAACTTAAATGAAACAATATAAAATTAAAAATAAGTGAATGTAAAAATGAAAGAAAACGTGAAATGAGTTTAAGTGAAGAAAAAAAGATTTTTTTTAAAGAAAGTTTGAGAAAAAAGAAAAAAAAAGGAAAGTAACCAAAGCTAATACTGTCCTTGTATATATGATACTGAATGCAGGACACTCTCCTCAGATGAAGAAGAGATGAATCAACAGAGATGTAGTCCTACAGGAGGATACTGAGAATACCATGGACCGAACATATGAGCAAAGACAAAGTTCTAGAGATAATGTCAGTAAAAAGGATATATAGAGCAACCTCGGTTCTCAAGCGTCTCACAAGTTGAAAAAACTGGTTTTTGATCAGAAAATTTGAGATGAAAATGCCTCAGTTATCGAACAAACATTTTGTTCTCAAACAACATTGCTAAACTGAGCCAAACGCAAATGAAATCATTTGTGAGTTGACTGCCATATTGTATACATTCGTGTCTTGTGTTGTGCTTTGCTTTTCCAATTTTTTCTCTTTATCAGTCCTTAGTCATGACTCAAAAAGAAACTAGCAATGATATTGGTAAAGGAAATAGAAAAGAGAAAAACGATTATTGATGATATTGTCTCTTCCTACTCAGTTTCATATGGCAAAATCAATGATCTATACTATTTTTATAAATAAAGAGACAATCATGTCTTTCTTTCCCCTTTTCAAAGAATAACATCTCTTTCCTTCCCCTTTTACACCACCTTCTTCTTACACCATCAATTATCCTACTTACAGGTACGGTAAAATTAAAGTGTTCACCTATATTTTATCTATTTAGTATTGGGCTTATTTATTTTTTCTTAGATTTAATAATTTTTAATTAGTTTTGTGTATAAACTTGTGCACTAAGTACTTTTGTAAAAGTTTAAATAAGCAATCATCTTGGACCAAGGAACAGATTAATGCATTTTATATTGATTCCTATTGGAAAAATGATTTCAGTTTACAAACATTTTGGGTTACGAACGGGCTTCAGGAACAAATTAAATTCATGAACCAAGGTTCCTCTGTACCTAATTTAAACAGAATATATTTTCTAATAAGTGTAGTATTTCAAATGAGCAAACAATTTAGATTTGAAATTTGTTCATTGTGTTGTCAGTGAAATAATGACAGGTAACAAACTTTTAGTACTTATTTGTCTTTTGGGGGGGGGTCTTTTTTTTTTTTTTATTTATTTATCTATTTTTCATTTAGGTCGTTTGGCGTAAGCTTGAAGACTCCTCCCCTTCTGAGACTTACCGGGTGATACCTCCACCTTCCTCTCCGGAAACTTCAGCTAAATTTTATCAACAGTCTTCCAAGGTACATTCTTTCCCCAGATATTCCCAGCCACCCCAGTTTCCTGCTCCTACCCACCAGAAGTCAACCCATTTGTACTCACCACCACCTTCAGGTCATCCAGTACATCATTATCAAGCACAACAACAACAGCAGCAGCAGCAACAATCATCACCCTCCCCAGCACATAACTTCAGGTCGAATTCACAAAGTCATCACCACAATCAAAACAGAAATAAAAAACCTAACTTTCAAAATTTATAAATATATACGTTAAAAATTTACAGCTAGGTCATGTCTCTCGTAGACGTAATTACATATCAATTTTTAAATGCTTTCCGTTGATCGTTTTAAAAGTATATTCTGTTATCAAAACAGATACAGTCAAGCCTCACCTAATGACTTCCTTGTTTAACAAACCCCGGATTTACAACCGGATATGAAATCTTATAAATCTTATAAATAATTTTTAAATCCAGCCAGTCGGTAGTTTTGTACTTACACCAAAAATTTAATTGTGGTTTTCTCTTCCTTCAAAATGAATCGAGTAAAAAAGATTTACAATATACAGACTTAAGTAATATATCGAATATAGAGCTGATTTTCTTTTTTACAATGCCCAAGAGCCAGTCAAGTTAGAAATTTTGATTGGTTCGGTTTCTGCGGCTTGTCAACCCTTTTCTGGTTATTTAAAGCCAGAAAATATTTGTAAGATTTTTTTATTGATTTATTTATATATTTAAGATGATAATGGTTTAGTGATACAAATCTTACTAATGGTGGGAGAAGAGGTGGATTCAAGCCTAACCAGAATTTGATAAACAAATTATAAAGTGGGGGATCAATTCTATATTACAATCAATATATAAAATGATCCCTCACTTTATTTCCATGGTAATTTCATTTATATTCCATAGAATGTAAATAAATTTATCTAAAAGAGATGCCTGTGGAGCTAATCAGTATTTTATTGATTGATGGATTCATTTTCTACAGCTTTTCAACACTTTGCAGGTTATTTTAATTAATCTGCAAAGTGTTTAATATGATTTAGATGGCAAGAATTTTTTTTTTTTTTTTTGAGATATTAATAGTTTAGTGATATGCGTTTTACTATTTGACCCATAGCTGTGGGGAGAAGTGAATTCATATCTTCTGAAGGGTATTTGCACATAAGTGAATATAATCAGGAATTGGGACCCGGATCTCCGATTAACAATTTCAAGTCATTATACATTACACTACCTGCACATCAAAACTTTCATCACTTGGTATTCCCAAATGGTCACCCATCTAGGTACTGACCAGGCTCGATGTTGCTTAACTTTGGTGACTGTAAGAAGCACAATTTATGGAAGATAACAGTTAACCCCTAGACTTGAACAGGCTAAAAGTTTAGTGGTCAAGGAAGCATCCTCTTGGGAGTCGGTTCCACAAAGTAGATGGTTTGTATAAGGGGAAGCTTCTCAAGTGGAACTTACATTTCACAAATGGAATATGAAGGGAATATGGGCGTGGTTTGCTACAATGTGTGTGGCATGGTAGGTCATAGCCGAGAAAGTTAGAACTGGTGAGACTAATGAATGTAGTTCATCTGAAAACTTTCTGTGGAAATAGTGATAGAACAGTTTACTGTTCAGCACATTACCATACGGTATAAATATTTAGAAATAAATTAGCAATGGTATAAATTGTGTAAATGTGGCATTGAAGCTATCTGAAGATGATTGACACAAACCCATTACGTGAGTAACCTGACTGAAATTTTGGTCAGCTACAGTTTCTTATCTAGTGACCAGGTTCTTGGAATTAAATTATTTGAAATTACCATATTTGATGGCATATTAGACACATGGGTGTATAAGACGCACCCCAATTTCAGCAAGGCAAATCAAGAAAAAAATAGTAATTAGTAAAATTATTAGTAAATGGTACAGCCTAGGCTATATTTATGAGGTATTATATTGGTTAAACAAGCCATTACAATTAATTGAAAAATAATAGTAAAACAAGACCATGAGCCCATAAAAACTTTATTATATCCAAAGGTAAGAAAACAAAATAAAAATCAAGCAATTATTACAACCAAGCTAAACAGTACAGTTACCATTAAAATTCAGTCAAAAATTTTCCTTTATAGGATTTGTACAACCTGCGTCTTGTAAACGTCTTAGTGGAATAATTAGGATATAAAAATTCTGATTGTATTGATACCAATGCAACTGGAAGTTATCGCAAGAAAAATATTAATGAAACAAATATATTTTATAAATATATAATTTGAATTTATTGCATATAATTTTATTGAAACAAAGTACTAATATTAAACATGATGAAATTAATATAATGAATATTATCAATGATAACACATTTAATCTGCATAATAGCCTTTTAAATAATGACAATAGATATATGAAAGTTACTCTAAAGTCTAAGCTAATAAGAGTTGCCAGGTAGCTAATTTCGACTGACTATCGCAAATTTTAAACTTGCATATGACATATGCAAAGGAATTTTAAAAGATATTTTTAGTAAAAAAAAGTGCACCTTATATTCCATCAAATACGGTACTTATTTTTTTTACTGATATTCACCTCATACAAGTTCCAAGAGCCACTTGGCAAAACTTAAGAGGTTTGTTGAATAAGACGTAAGAAGCATAATTTATGAGGATATGCAGGAAATATAATGGTTAACTCTAGACTTGAACAGGTTAAGAATATTATGGTCAGGAAAGCAACCTCTTGGGAGTTGATTCCACAAAGAAGCAGTTCATGGAAAGAAGCTGTTCAAGTAGAACTTGCTCCTAACTAATGGAATTGGAAGGGAAGGCAGTTGTTTCACCACAAATACGATGTGGGTCTTAGCTGTGAAAGGTAGAGTTAGTGGAACTAATGAATGTAGCTCATCTGAACATTTATGATAGGAGTTCAACAAAGATCGGTAATACAGCCATACCAAACTTATTAACTTACCTGTTTAATGAAACCCAGGCTTAAAACCACCTATAAAATTTCATTATTATTTTTTTTATTTTTTTTTTTAAATTCAACCAGTTGATATTGAACATTTTAAAATGAATCAAGTGAAAAATAAATAAAAAAAAAATTGCTTGTTCTGTATTTACAGTATGTAAAACAAAGTAATGTAGAGACTATAATTTGTTTATTATGTTTACTGTTTAGTACACTAATGTACTGTACTGTTCAGTACACTACTATATTATATAAACATTTAAAAATAGAAATGTTCTGAGTGATGTAAATGTGACTATCTGAAACTGGTTGGAACAAATAAATCCATTACATGCATACAATGCCTGAAATAGCAGTCAGGTACAACTTCTCAATTAGCTACCAGTTCATTTAGCAACTAGGTCATTGTAATTAAATCTGGTCATTAATTCAGCAGTGACTATAATTAATAGCAATATTCTTGCATAACTAACAAACATAATGTGAATGAAATTGGATCAATAAGTCATTATAATCTGAATTTTGATTTTTAAATTTTCCTGATATATTGTACGTTTGGCAAACATAGGCCTCCATGCCCACAATAAACCAGTTTTTTTACCATGACACCACTTTTTTTTAACTACCTTCAATCTTCAACAATGTTTTGTTTTTTTTTTAAAGTGATCATTTAGAATTGGAATAAAACCTAAACTTATAAAAGTGAATTTATACAGTTTCTTTGTTCTTAAAAGTTTATAACAAAAATAACAAATACTATTTATTTATTAGATTGTTTATTTACAATGCTTATTTATTATATTATTTATTGGAATAATTATAATAAAAATATTGGGATGGTTGGTAAAACATTGCCTAATTGCTAATTGATTCAGACTTTATAAAATGGTAAGTAATGATTTCCTTATAAAGGGTATTTCATAAAGACAGATCAAAGTCAGCAGTAAATAAATCAGTGTTATTGGTAAAAATTTATTTATTTCTCTATTGGATCATATTATTTAAGTCATGGCAATTATGTGTGAAAAATAATATCGTCCAAATGTCAGCCAAATCTGAAAGAAAAAGAAAAAAGATCATTAAACACTTAAATTTAATTCACATTTAAAATCAGTCCAAGTTATTGGAACACTTTTTAGTTGGTTCACATATTTTAATAATTTGATGTTTTAAATTTATGAATAAAAAATTGTTTTTCATATTTATTTCTTTATAAATTAGTTAATGATAAATATTGTATTGCATTCTAATTGTGTTAGTTTTTCTTTTTTTTTTTTTTTTAGAATGTTGTAAATATAAAATTATTCTTGTAAATAAACAATCTAATGAATAGTGTTTAACATTTTTGTTGTCAATTCTCAAAAACAAAAAAATATATATAATTTCACTTTCATCATATGTTGGGTTTTATTACAATTCTAATCGTTTTTTTTTAAAAAAAACAATAAATATTGCCAAAAAGTGAAGGTAGTTAAAAAACAGTGCTGTCTAAGGAAAATCTTCCTTTCAACACTCCATTGTATTGCAGTCACTTTTATCCATGTTTCCTGTTCATTATATAATAACTACTACTGAAAACAATACATAGGAACAAAGGATATGATGTTAAAAAAAAAAAAATTCATATTTTTTCATCATTGAGCTATGAACTTATTGATGCACTTATATGTATATTTATACAAATTTTAATCAATAACTCTATAGCCAGGTATGTACTTAACTGTATTTTGTCCTGAGATTTTCACTGTGTAATATTCAATGTCTGTTATTAACATCCATTACTGAATTGCACTGACTTGAAATGAGATTATGTCAAAAAAATATCTACGATGTAAAATAAATGCTTTTTCTGTCTGAATTTCTGGGATGAGGAGTAATCATTATTTATGCAATTTACATTTGGACTGTTGTCCTCATCTTTGTTGTTGTTATAACAATATTTCAGCCATTGTGCTGTTCAGCCTTCATCAGGTGTATATAAATCCAGGTAACCTACAGGGAATTTTGAACTGAATCCTTTATTTCAGAGTTTCCTTGTTTCAGTAGAAACTGAGTGAGCAAAAACAGATCAGTACTAAAAATAAGAACTAGATATGATATCCCTAGATCTGGACAGTGGAATGAGAACAGTCTACCCCTGGAGATTTTAAATGGTAACAGGATAAAATTCCAGCCTCTTATCCCAAAATTTGTCAAAATCCTAGTCTCATAAATAAGTCACATATATAAAAAGAAACAAATTTAAGTTAATTCAGGACATGGACAAATGTATAAAAAAAAAACCTCTTAATTCAGCACACTATCTTCATATATGGTCGATGTTGTTTGTTTATATTTTGTTGCAAACCTTAGAAAGACTCCTTTTATAGCTTTCTTCGAATAAAGTATTGTCATATAGGATACTAGGATGCCCTAACTATGAAATATATCAAATATGTGACTGTAGCTGTAACAGAGAAGCAGGTCAACCAGACAAGAAATCTAGAGTTGGTTGCATGTGGTACAGTAAGCAAAAGGAATTATCTCCTCTTCCATAATTGGCTGTTAAGAGAGGACCTTCTACTTAGAGTAGGTAGTGCTGACAAAATTTGAATACAAACGATACTGGCCAGGTATTAGCCAATAGTCAGCATGGGTCTGGGACTGAGAGAGCTATATATCACCAGCTTTTTGTCAGTTGGGGGTGGGGAGTGCTCTTGATGTGTGGATCATTGGAGTTTATATTTACTTTACTTAAAAACCAGACAAAACGAATACAGTAGCATTGTTAAATTTTTTTTTTTTTTTAGTGGTTGAACCCACAATTAATTTCTGTAGCAAAGAGAGCAAACTCACAAACTCGTGAAGCAGGTAACAGAAATCGATCTTTCTTGTACATATAAGCGTATATATTGGATACTAGCAGTAGAGCCAGCGTTGCCGGGGATGTAACAATGAGATAGATCAAGTATCGACCATCATAAAAGATTGAAAAATAAAATTGACAAAAGATTATTGTTTAAGGTTGACGGACACGCATGTTTTTTTTGGGGTTTTTTTTTTTACGAATTGGTCAAACCCAAACTCAAACATTGTTTTCAATCGTTATCAGTCTACCGATTGAATAGAATTTTATTATAAACAATTGTCTTGTAAATGGAATTTTTAAAGCATTGTGAATGTAAAAATAAAGAAAAAAGTGTTCAAGCCAATGAGAAACACTACCTGCCAAAAAAAGTGAAGTTTTGTTGAAATCGGTTGAAAAATGTAGGAAATCCAATCCCATATATAAACGAACACACACACACAAACAACCAACCTGGGTTTTATAATAAGTATAACTCGATTATGAGTTGTCTCCCTTTCATTAATGCTTCTTAATCGTGTTTTCAAATTGAGTTCTTCCAAAAACAATTGTGTTTTTCCAATTTTTGGCGCTGTCAGAACCACCGCAAGGTTATTTTACATAGTCCTGTGAAGTTTTGTTGAAATCGGTTGAAAAATGTGGGAAATCCGATCCAATATATAAACGTACGGACACACACACACACACACAATCTGCGTTTTATAATAAGTAAGATTATTGGTATTGTCTCAGTTTGACATTAAAATTTGAATTAAAAGTTTCTTGAATTTTCAATGTTAAATTTGTTTCATTTTATATATGAGACTTTTATTTACGAGACTGGGATTTTGTCCACTTTTGAGATAAGAGTGTTGGTTTTTTATCCACTGGGTTTTTGTCGTGGATTCATTTAAATAATGGGTTCAGTACGAAATTCCCTGTAGGTTACCCAGATCGATATACTCCTGATGAAAGCTGGAGGGCACAATGGCCGAAAAATTGTGATAAAAACAACAACAAAGATGATAACAATGGGTCAAATGTAAGTAGTGTAAATAATAAATGCTTCGTTTATCATTATGCTTCTGATTGCTTGATGTTTTTACACCTGAAATTTTTATATGAACCAAAGTTTTATAATTATCACAGATTTTTACTTAATTATTTTTTCATTAAAATAAATTGTCATATTGTCTTAAAGGTGCTACCAATTAAATTCATCATTTTTATAATAATATTCCAAAAGAAATTTCAGCAAACACTGACCAACATGCTCACAAAAAAAAGGAGTGTCAAAAGGATGGTTGTTTCCATGTCGCCACTATTATTATAACTACCTTCACTCCTCAGCAATGTTTATTGTTTTAAAAACAATGATTATAAAAACAAACATATGATGAAAGTAAATTTATACATTTTTTTTTTTTGTTCTTGAGAATTTTCAAAAAAATATTAAACATTATATATTGGTTTGTTTATTTATTACTAGTGTACCCATGCTGTCAAAATTTATGAGGAGAAGTAATGTATTATAAGTACTGTGTATTATAATGCAAGTAATTTTCTATTAATCCAAATACAATTTTGTAATTTAAAATAATTCATTGTTAACATTAATAATTGAACAGTGTACAATTTATAAACACCTTAGGAAAGATATCCATATTTTATCCTCTTTGTAGCTTTTGTATGCACAGCTTTTGTGAGAAACCTTTGAGAGTCAAATTTGCTGAGAAATTAGAACATTATCATTAGTGATAGTCGATCTCACAATCCAAGACACCTTGAAGAAAAGTAACTTTATGTGAAGTTTAATTCAAGCTGAAATAAAATATAAACTTTGGCAAAGTTTTGTCTGACATATATTTATCTCCTCTCTTTATCCCTTTCTATTCCCTCCTCTCTCTCTCTCTCTCTCTCTCTCTCTTTCTTTCTTTGCAGTTGTGTATCTGCTTTTTTTCATGGCTACTTTCCATCATTGCTTTCACTTTGATCATAGTTTGCAGAGAGAGGGAAAGAAGGGGGTTGCTTTGTAGTTTGTCAGTACAGTAGCTTTTTGTATGTTGATGTGAATGGGGTAGTGACTTCTGTGCATCTCATGTCAAAATTTCGCACACAGCCCCTCAATTATTAAACACAAAAAACACACACACACACACACACACACACACACACATATATTGCATATTATATTTAAGGATAATTTTATATTTCCACCATTCTAAAAACTAATACAATTAAAACTAATGTAATGCAATATTTATTTACAAATTTATAAAGAAATAAACATGAAATCAATTTTTTTTTTCATAAATTTATAGATGGCTGACCACTCATATCCGAGAATGCCTGTTTACTAGGGTGGCTAGCTAATCCTTGTTGCAGACGCCTGCTCAGGCAAATTTGTGCTTGTTCAACACCCATAGAGCCCATCTGTGGTTTATATTTCAATTATGCTGAGTGGACCTTAGTCACAGTTTCTGGGGGAGAGCATGTTATCTAGTGTGAGCCACAGTATGAACATGGCCAGCACTCTCAAACCCTCAGTCATGATGACTTGTGACTTTCTGCTGACACAACCATTGATGGCTCCTAAAGGCTTCCATCTACCCAATTTCACTCACAGGGCTTATAAATTTATAAACATTTACTAAATTATTAAAATATGTGAACCAATTATAAGGAAATCCCTATTATTTATCATTTTGTAAAGTTGGCAATTAGCCAGTATTTTTCCAGTCATTACAGTAAATAATATAATAAATAGTGTTTATTACTTTTGTTGTCAATTCTCAAGTATCAATTTTTTTTAAATATCAGGCACAAATTAATTGTATTTTACACGATGTGTATGTATATATCGTATTTAATCTTTTCTGATTATATTATTTTCTTTCGAATATTTTTTATTTTCCCAAGTACTTTCAATCTCATTTGAGACTATCTTCAGGGGGTTAAGTTGTCTGTGAGTATGTATATGTGTTTCTGTGAATTTAAAACATTTCAACTGTTTGTTTTTTGGGGTTTTTTACTGCTTTAATGAAACCAGTTTGAATGAAAATATGCTTCCCAAATATATACACTTTAATAATTTAGTAAATGTTTATAAATTTATGAATAAAAATTCTTTTCATATTTCTTTCTTTATAAAGTGGTAAAATAAGTATTGCATTGCATTAGTTTTAATACAATTGTATTATTTCTTACAAAGTTATAAAAATAAAATTATTCTTGTAAATAAATAAATAGTTTTTATTATTTTTGTTGTCAATTCTCAAGAAGAACAAAGAAAATGTATAAGTTCACTTTTATCTTGTGTTTAGGTTTTATTCCAATTCTGTCATAACCTAGAAAGGGTTACTGAATGAGGAATAACCAAAACGGAGGTTGGAAATGAAGTGATAATCTTTATAACATCAACAAAATACAATACTTGCCAGCGGCATGAAGTAGGTAAACCACTGCTAGTGGTGGACTATTTAAAAAGCATATTACCCTCACTTACAATAGTGTCCAACGTATTTATGAGGATTGGGACATACCCATTAGGTATTCATTTGTACAGTATATAACAAATTCTAACCTTCGATTTTTAAAACAACAAACAATGCCATAGAGTGAGGCGGGGGGGGGGGGTTAAAACAAAAGCAGTGTCATGGGAAAAACCATCCTTTTGACATTCTATTTATTTTGCATGCACAAAGGTCCATCTTTGCCGAAATTTCTGTATTAATCAAATCCTGAAAAAAAGGGGTTTTTGTCATCATTTTACTGATTTAATGAACATTCTTTTAATATTTTCAGTATCATTAAAAATATTAAAAATGTCATTAAAATATTAAAAAATATCATTAAAAATGTCATTAAAATATTAAAAAATATCATTAAAAATGTCATTAAAATATTAAAAATATCATTAAAAATGTAAAATATCCTTAAAAATCACAAACATTCTATTATGCATTTTGTTTTAAAACTGATTTTCCTAAAGTTATTCATTTCTTCTTTTGTCAGAAAGATTTACCAATAATAATAATTATCACTTAGTGATCATTTTGTTTTGAAATTAAATAAAAGTTGACAATGGTTTTTGGTTATGTTTTTGTCTTTGTTTTCTTTACTTTAGCTGGGATATTAATGTCATTTGAAAAATGAATATTTATAAAATTCCTGGGAATTTTAATTATTTTCAAAACTGATAATATTTTCAAAATTAATATTTTTAAAATGGCTGGTAATTAACATTATTTTAAAAGTTGCTGGGAATTTTAATTATATTCAAAAAATTAATATTGCATTAAAAATTATTATTTTTAAAATTAAAATTATTATTAAAATAGCTGGGGAATTAATATTTCAAAATTTATAATTTCAAAATTAATGATTTTTCAATGTCTGGTAATTAACATTATTTTCAAAATTAATATTTTTAAAATTGCCGAGAATTTTTATTATTTTCAAAATTAATATTACTAAATTATTATTTTCAAAACTAATATTTTTATAATAGCTTGGAATTAATATTATTTTTAAAATTAATATCATTATTAAAATTATTATTATTTTTAAAATAGCTGGGAATTATTATTTCAGAATTAATATTTTTAAAATTAATATTATTTTTTAAAATAGCTAAGAAAATATATTACTTTGGAAATTAACTCTTTGAGCCCCACACTCTTGAACAATTTTAACTCTTCTGCCTCCTGAGCTCCTGAATCTGAATTCACAAATAATTGTTATGTAATGTTTCACGGTAGATATAAAAATAGTTACAAGTGTTTATCCACCATTCAACCCGTGACTGGGCATTAAGTCATTTTTCTCTACCAACGGTAAAGCGCAAAGGGTTAATCTTACAATATTAATATTTTTATTTTAAAAAAAATTGACTCTCAAAATGAAATCTTTCAACTGTCATTATAACCAGCTTCAATTGTTTTATTACTATAAATGTAATTTATTTATTACGATAAATGTAATTTTTAGTGGATGCATGTGTTTGAATTAACATTTGTGTTTTTTTATCTTCTTAATGAAATCAAGCAGTCTAGATCAAGAACTCCTGATAAAGAAAAATATGACTCCTGATGGGAATTGAACCTGGATCCCATTTTTTCCTCAAGGAAACCACTTTGTAGTCAAAGCATGCTGTTACCAATTTGGCCATGGGAAGCCATCATAGGGCAAAGTTCAGTTACCTATTAGGTTGTCACACATGAAATGGCACATTTTTCGGTTGTTTTTGATCTGGTTGTCTAACAAAGTAACCTCCTAAGTATATATAAAAGAAAAAAATTGCCTTATTCTTGACTCTTTTTCTCTCCAGCTACTTTTTCTTTCAATAAAAATGATTACAATGAAACAATGTTGAGTAATCTTACTGTATGAGTACAAACTGGGAAAAAGAACCATTTTTGCATCAAATCATTACATGTGATGAGGAATGGATACTCTTCAACAATGGTAAGTGAGTAGGGCAGTATTTAGATGCAAAACAATGTCCAAAACTTCAACTGAACCCTAAAAAGTTAATGGTTACTGTATGGTGGTCTTTCAAAGGGGTTATTCATTATTAATTCTTGCCTCAAGGGAAAAAATTACCAGCTACCTCATATGGTGGAGAAAATGAGTGTAGGCCCAAAAATTTGAAAAAAAAACATTCCAGATTTGTGAAAAGGGATGACACAATTTTGCTGCACAACAACGCATAGGTGCAGGCTTTTCAGTCAACTGTCCAAAAGCTGCATATCCTGAATTATGAAATTTTGCTTTATCCTCCATATTCACTTAATATCTCTCCTACTGATTATCACTTATTTAAGCATTTTGAGCTTTTCATATGCAAGGAAACATTCCCCAATAACAATGAGGTAATCAAATCATTTGAACTGTTTATCACATCAAAGGATGAGAACTTTTTAAAAGATGGGGACAAGAATTTAGAGTCACACTGGAGAACAGTCAGTCATCAAGATGGTGCCTATTTCAGCTAATTAATTAGTTCTTTAACATTTCAAAAGCATTTTATTCATTTCCTATAAAGTGCATCATTTTATGTGTGACAACCTAATATTTAAGGAATATACATCTTTTGTTGGGATTTCTTCATTTCTCTTTTTGCTAGTTCCATTTTTATGTCCAAGGCATAAACTGTAATTTTTAAATGGATATTTTTAATCTGACATTATTTCTTATTAGTACAAATATTATTTTTAGTAGCTACAGGTGTTTGAGTTGACATCTGTATTTTCTTTTCTTAAACAACTTAGATTTAGAAGTCCTACTAAAGAAGAATGTGCCTCCCAATAGGAATCGGGACTTATATTCTCTTTTTCTACAAGGGAAGCCATTCCCATAAGGGAAACACACTTAAGCTCAAACATGTGTACCCACTAAAAATAATATTTATAGTAAGAATAGATAATGTTGGATGATTAAAATCCATTTACAAATAATCCGCTTCACTCCAAGCTGTTGGCTCCAATCCTGATTGAAATGACTGCAAAATGCTTCCCTCCCCCCCAAAATTTATAGGCAAAATACACTGATGCATGCTGGGATATTTTCCCAGCTAATAAGATAGACCACTTCTTGGTCTCATCCAATATATTTCTGTTCTTTCTTGTCTTGAAGTCAGAATACTGCAATCAATCTTTTGTCTGTATCATTTTTATGTGTCAATACCAATTCTTAGTTTATGAAATTTTGCCTTATTACTGTTGTGTTGCTTTTCCTTATTGCTGTTGCTTTGCCTTATTGCAGTTTTTGCCTTATTACTGTTGTGTTGCTTTTCCTTATTGCTGTTGCTTTGCCTTTTGCTTTGCCTTATTGCTGTTGCTTTGCCTTATTGCAGTTGCTTTGCCTTATTACTGTTGTGTTGCTTTGCCTTATTGCTGTTGCTTTGCCTTATTGCAGTTGCTTTGCCTTATTACTGTTGTGTTGCTTTTCCTTATTGCTGTTGCTTTGCCTTATTGCAGTTGCTTTGCCTTATTGCTGTTGCTTTGCCTTATTGCAGTTGCTTTGCCTTATTACTGTTGTGTTGCTTTTCCTTATTGCTGTTGCTTTGCCTTATTGCAGTTGCTTTGCCTTATTACTGTTGTGTTGCTTTTCCTTATTGCTGTTGCTTTGCCTTATTGCAGTTGCTTTGCCTTATTACTGTTGTGTTGCTTTGCCTTATTACTGTTGCTTTGCCTTATTGCACTTTGCCTTATTACTGTTGCTTTTCCCTTATTACTGTTGCTTTGCCTTATTGCTGTTGCCTTTTGCTTTGCCTTATTGCTGTTTTTGCCTTATTGCTGTTGCTTTGCCTTATTGCTGTTGCTTTGCCTTATTGCAGTTGCTTTTTCCTTATTACTGTTGCTTTGCCTTATTACTGTTGCTTTGCCTTATTACTGTTGCTTTGCCTTATTGCTGTTGCTTTTACCTTTATGCAGTTGCTTTGCCTTATTGTTGCTTTGCCTTATTACTGTTGTGTTGCTTTGCCTTATTGCTGTTGCTTTGCCTTATTGCAGTTGCTTTGCCTTATTACTGTTGTGTTGCTTTGCCTTATTGCTGTTGCTTTGCCTTATTGCAGTTGCTTTGCCTTATTACTGTTGTGTTGCTTTTTTCCTTATTGCTTTTGCTTTGCCTTATTGTTTGCTTTGCCTTATTGCTGTTGCTTTGCCTTATTGCAGTTGCTTTGCCTTATTACTGTTGTGTTGCTTTTCCTTATTGCTGTTGCTTTGCCTTATTGCTTTGCTTTGCCTTATTGCAGTTGCTTTGCCTTATTGCTTTTTTGCCTTATTACTTGTTTGCCTTATTACTGTTGTGTTGCTTTTCCTTATTGCTTTTTTGCCTTATTGCTGTTGCTTTGCCTTATTGTTGCAGTTGCTTTGCCTTATTACTGTTGTGTTGCTTTTCCTTATTGCTGTTGCTTTTTCCTTATTGTTGTGTTGCTTTGCCTTATTGCAGTTGCTTTGCCTTATTACTGTTGTGTTGCTTTTCCTTATTGCTGTTGCTTTGCCTTATTGCAGTTGCTTTGCCTTATTATTACTGTTGTGTTGCTTTTCCTTATTGCTGTTGCTTTGCCTTGCAGTTGCTTTGCCTTATTGCTGTTGCTTTGCCTTAGTTGCTTTGCCTTATTACTGTTGTGTTGCTTTTCCTTATTGCTGTTGCTTTGCCTTATTGCAGTTGCTTTGCCTTATTGCTGTTGCTTTGCCTTATTGCAGTTGCTTTGCCTTATTACTGTTGTGTTGCTTTTCCTTATTGCTGTTGCTTTGCCTTATTGCAGTTGCTTTGCCTTATTACTGTTGTGTTGCTTTTCCTTATTGCAGTTGCTGTTGCTTTGCTTTGCCTTATTGCAGTTGCTTTGCCTTATTACTGTTGTGTTGCTTTGCCTTATTGCTGTTGCTTTTGCCTTATTGCAGTTTGCTTTGCCTTATTACTGTTGTGTTGCTTTTCCTTATTGCTGTTGCTTTGCCTTATTGCAGTTACTTTGCCTTATTACTGTTGTGTTTTTTCCTTATTGCTGTTGCTTTGCCTTATTGCAGTTGCTTTTCCTTATTGCTGTTGCTTTGCCTTATTGCAGTTGCTTTGCCTTATTACTGTTGTGTTGCTTTGCCTTATTGCTGTTGCTTTGCCTTATTGCTGTTGCTTTGCCTTATTGCAGTTGCTTTGCCTTATTACTGTTGTGTTGCTTTGCCTTATTGCTGTTGCTTTGCTTTGCATAAATTATTTGCTTAATATTATTTTTTTGCCCTGTTCTTTTCTTTCTCTTGCTATTGTTTATTGCAAACTTTGTTAATTCTGTTTGTTGGGCATTTCTGTCAATTTAACCATGGCCAATTACTCTACACAGGCTTGACCACTTGACCCAACCTAGACGAATACTTCAACTAGTTTGTTATAATCTGAAAATAAAATGTTTTTGATTTTATTACATTGATTATTACAGGTCAGTTTTCTTATCTTTGTCCCAATATTGGATGTGTGGCCAATTGTTTAGAACATCCAATTTCCAACCATGAGCCCCAGGTTCAAATCTCTGGTCAATTTGTCAGGAAGGTAACATCTTAATGCAAGCAATCTGGAGAGGTCATCCCAATGTGCTGTTGTTTTGGTGAGTACCTGAAAGCCATAGCATAGGTTGACCCAAGACTTGTGAGTGAAATTGGATAGAGGGAACTATTTGGGAGCAGTTGATGGTTGAGATAGCATGAAGTCGCAAGTCATCTTGACTGAAGGTTTGAGCATACTGGCCTTGTTCAGACTGTTGATCACACCAGATAATGCAGTCTCTCTTAGAAACAGTAACTACAGTCTATTCAGTAAAGTTTTTTTTATTATTATTATACTGTTCCCCCTATACAAGGAAGATGACATCGTTATCAGTCTCAAGAGTTGATCCCAATGTGCAGTTGCTTTGGAAAATATCTGAAATCCATACCATTGGTTGACCCGTTATATCACTATATTTCAATGGCTATACCCTTTGACCTCAAGTATATATCACTATCTTCTTATTTATTTATTTTTTTTTTTTTTTTGAGAATTTTCAATTCTGATTATTTTTTCAAAATTGAATAAGATAATAATAATTATAACCAGAATAATAATAATAGTAATAATAATAGTAATAATAATAATGATAATAATAATATAATGATGATAATAATATAATAATGATAATAATAATAGTAATAATGATAATAATAATGATATAATAATAGTAATAATGATGATAATAGTGATAATAATGATGATAATAATAGTAATGATAATAATAATAATATTAATAGTAGTAATAATAATGATATAATAATAATAGGAATGTTAATGATAATAATAATAGTAATGATAATAATAATAAGCTCCTGTGGGATAAAACTATCTTAATCGACAAGTGCAGCTAACGGCAATATCATGTTCAAACACCGGTTCTCATTCAATCACCAAAGTTAAGCAACATTGAACCTGGTCAGTACCTATATGGGTGAATGTTCAGGAATACCAGGTGCTGTAAGCTTGGATGTGTGGGTGGGGTAATGGATAACAGCTTGGAATGAGAAATTGGAGAGCCAAATTCAAATTTCAGTCAGGTTCATTATATTCACTCCTCCCAGCTATAGGTTAAATAGTAAGACATGTATCAGAAAACTATTATTATCACTAATCAATTCTTACAATCCGAAAAAAAATGTTTTGGCTTTAAATAACTTTTAAAAGTTTGATAAAGCATAAAAAACAAATCAATTCAATTGGCAAGAGAAACCAGTTTGATATCACACATGCAAAACAGCAGCCATGTACGGATCCTGATAATTGTTGCAGTACCTCTGGATAACATCAGAAAATACAGAGGTACCAAGATCTAGCAGAACAAATCAGAGGGAATATGCTAAACAGCAGCAGAATGTACAGATGGCAATGCTGCTTGGAACAGCTCTTGTGCTAAGGAAAATATTGCATCTCTATAAGATGTGGGTAGGAACTAAGTACTCATCTGAAACATCTAAAAGTGGATGAATTGTAGACTGAGAAATATGTAAAAGAACCAGAAATAAGTAGACAGAAGAGTTACAGAGTGGCAACCTTATGGCAGTGGGAAAGTGACTGAATAAATGAAAGTGACTTTTAAATAAAACTAATAAAAAGAAACATATAAGATGGACAATGTAGATGAAAACTGATTTCTCAACAGTAATTTCTCATGATGAATTTAGAGTTACATTTAGATTAACCTAATGACCAGGCTAGAGATTGTGTCCTTCCTGGAAATAGTCAACCAAAACAATTTAAAAGACAACAGTGGGAAGGTAGAATAATGTTTTAGGCTAGTATCGTCGACACAAAAATTATCAGTCCAATAAAAGTTGATGTTGGTATGAAGTATAATAATACAGAGAAATTTTAAAAGTTCTTGGACAAGACTAAAAGAGTGGTCCAGACCACAATCAAGAAACTAAGCTAAAGAGTCCATTTAAAGCAAGACTATGTTCAATCAGAGTTTGCAAAGCTCACTAATGGCCACCTTCACTACCAAAAAATAAATGATTTGAAAGAGAACAAACTGACCTCTACCATGCCTCTCCAATAGAAAACTTGGTTGATCATTAAGAGAGATTTATAGAAAACAATATTCAAGGAATTAAGAAGACAAACGATAACATGTGACATTGCATTTAAATATTTGAAGATCAAAGTTAACTGGGAAGCAAGAAGCCAGAAGAGAGTTCCACAAGCAAGAAGTGCCATAGGAGAAACTATTAGCATAGAACTTGCAGTTACATCTAGTAGTGGCGTAGCTAGAGTAAACATCACCCGGGCGGTCCGCTCAAATGTCACCCCAATGACCCCGATTCACCCTATGCTGAATGGTTAGCTGTAGCTAAATTTTCATTCATGCTCTACCTCACTCGGTTCATATGCCCGCCTGCGAAACCCTGTGTCTCCACCACTGTTTTCAGACTATTTTTGGCACCCTAGCCTGGTTGAAAAATTTTGTTGGTGGTGACATTGTGTCACCCCTCCTGTGCTGGCACCCGGGGCGATCCCCCCCCCTTAGCTACGCCACTGACATCTAGCCATTTTGACTGTAAAATGATGAGACCTTGCTGCCAATTTAGTACTGCACTTGAATTCATAAAGTCTAGAACCCATATAGGAAGGTTCATCAGAACAATTACCATGAAAATATTTATAGAAAAACCAAAGGGACGCTATGTTATGACAATAGGAAAGTGACTAAATCCAAGATACCAGGTCAGGACCAATAACATTGAAGGAGAGAGAACGTGAAAATGTGGAATGGAATCATGTGACATCTTGTCCTCATTCTTTCTACCTTATGGTAAAAGTAATTGCTTATGTCTTTTATAGTTTAAATGTTAACAGATACATATTGGTAAATAAAAATGGAAGACCATAAGGAATTTATTACATTATAAGCAAAGATTTATTTAACCAGAGAAAATGAAATTTGCCTAATTATTGGCTAAAAAATTCCAAGTTTCTTTATAGTTCCTAACCTCCTTTAAAAATTCCTAATTTGACACATGCTATGTCTATGGTATTCTCAACCATTATATAATCTACGAGAGTAGGTTGTTTTCGTCATATTGTCTAGGGATATCTTGTTTTGTTCTTCTTTAGTTAATGCAGGGATTCTTAACCTGGGGTTCATTGAACCCTAGGAGATCCATAGTTGTGTTTCAGAGGGTCCATAAGCATCAGATAAAAATTAACATTTATAATCGCTAGACAGCCCCTGTCCCAGTGAGTGGTTTCCTATTAAAAGAAATAAAAGAAAATGCACCCAGTCACTACTTACAGCATTAACTGCTAGCCGTCTCTTGACTTTTTTTTTTGCGGGGGGCAGGGGTAAAGGTTTACCATTTAAACGTGTGTCATCATTCACTGCATGACTGTCATCTTTTGCCACTCCATATGAGCAAAGGATAATTCTCATTTTCCACGGTTTATCACGGTTTGATCATCTCATATACAGGTGAGGATTAATTGACCATAATTTCTTTCAAGCGTGGCTCGCAGAAAAGTGATGTGTGTGCAGTGTTCATGAGGTTGCAGTATGGAGAAATGCATGTACAAGTGTTGAGAAAAAAACAATCAGACTGCGAATCTGCTTGTCTGTCTAAATGTCTATGAAGGGCTAGTTCTTATAGAGGCCTGTGACTCAAAAGAGTTTAAGAAACATTGGTTTAGTGATATCTTCTTCTATGTGTCATCCCTTCAGAACGTAGGTGATCATGGCTCTCCACAGTTTCCTGTCCTTTGTAGCTTTTAATAAATTTTGTCTTTTTCTTGTTTTTCCCAAACCCCATTCCATATAGTCAAGCTCACTATGTATGTTATGCATTGTATTCCTCTGTCTCTCTTGCCTTCAATCAGTTCTGTGAGTATCAAAGTTTCCAAGCTCTCTTTCCTCATTATATGCCCTAGAAATTTCAACTCTTTCTGATGTTAAGTATAAGTGTCCTTTTTGTTTCCATTTTGTCTAAAACTTCATCATTTCTCACATATTCAGTGCATTGTATCCTCAACATCCTCCTGTAGAGTCACATTTGTGCCGCCTCAAGTCTCTTCATTTATGAAGAAATTGTCCAGTATTCACTACCATATAGGAGGACAGATATCATGTAACAGTTCAGTACTATTTTCTTTGTTTCTAACAACATTATTTGTTTCTTAATATTTTGCTTAGCTTTTAGAAGGCATCTTTTGCTATCCCAATGTGCCTTTGGATTTCAGTGTCACACTTTCTCTTCTCTATTAAAACACTTTCCAGATATTTAAATTTTTGTTCTTTTTTTTATTTTGGTATCTCTAATTTGTAACTTGCAAGGCTGTTCCATTTGCTAGCAACCATGGATTCCGTTTTCTTGCAGCTGCTGTTTAGTCCTTTCTTCTCACTTTCCTTCACTTCATTCTGTAGCAGTTCTTGGAGTTCCCTTTCTTTGTCTGCTGTCAACACTGTGTCATCTGCATGTTCTATGTTGTTAAGATTGTGGCTATCAATAATGAATCCTGGTAGGATTCATAAGTCTCTCAGAATCACCTAGCTGTATAGGTTGAATAAGTCCGGTGAGAAGACACATCCTTGTCTTACACCCCTTTTTATTTTGGTATATCCCAGTCAGTTAAGTGTCACACATGATACACGCTTGGACAATCATGTATCGAAAGATACATGAATGACGAGACAGAAGATTTTTCCTGCATTTCTTTCTAGTTGCCAATGTTCACACAATACAAGGCCTAAGGGCCACTCAAGTTATAAGGTTACTGTGTGGAGTTGTATTAGCGTAAGAAAGGGCAGAATACCAGGAAAGATAGACAGCTAATTCTAGACTTGAAGAGGTCAAGATTTAATTAGTGAATAAAATGTCAGAGTTCAGGATGAGCTGTTTATTGTCGGAGTTAACCCCTCCTTAATTGTCCAAATTGTTCAAAAGGAGACGCTCTCTCTACACTATAAATACTGGGCGATTTCTTGCCTCGTCCACTTTTTCATTTCTTCATTTTCAGTGAACACATCTACAATGTAAGCTTTCGCAGAAGATTGCGTCTTCCCATTTGTGTGAGACGCCATGAACATTATACACACATAGACGTACGTACGAGCATTCACGAAAATACAAACTCTTTACGTTCACACACAAACACAAATGTTAATGCAAAGCTATCTATTTCTATTAGGACAGGAGAAAAAAATTTACTGAATAAAATTTCAGGCGGAGGCGTCAGAAATACAGAGTTAAAGCAACCGAAAACCCAATCCTAAACAGAAAACAAGGGATAAACCTTTACTCCTGTTCAAAAGATTAGAGAGGAGTATGAACCGGGCGATGGGTGAGTCTATCTACTTCTATTATATTTACTGACTATAAGCCCCTCACTCATGCTATGAATATCAACACGGATAAATATTCACCAAGGGAAATCAGATATCTTAACTTTATTTCCCCATATACAGCCGACAAACACTATGTTAATGGACAACAAAACATAGTAACTGTCGCATTATCACACACCCACATAGCTACTGTTGCAACCATTATTCTGAGTCACGACTCCATATCAAAGATGAAACAATTTCCAGTAACTTTCAGCGACAAAATCTTGTATTGTGACACCACTTTATCTAACCCCAGGGCCTATATGCCTTCTGAGTCAATTTAACATGGGAAGGGGTGGGGGAGAACATGACCAAGAACTGTGTGTACTCTGTTCCTTGCAGTCGTGACAAAGAATATAAAAGTGAAACTAATCGCCCTCTAAAAGTAAGATTGGAGAAGCTTCGGAAATATTTAAGGAGGAAAGACAATGAAATCAGGCATGGCTGATCATGTATGGAGAGAAAAGAGCAGTCATCAACCACTGTGGGATGAAGTGAAAATACAAGACAAGAGGAAAACTGGCGAGTTAGACGTCTGAAAGAATCAGCGCATATGTTAGACTATGTTAGAGCCGCTTTAGTAGGCCCAGCAGATAAGACACAATATGA